AGTAAAATTTTAAAATGTATAAAAATTTTGTGATGTACTTTACGAAATTCAATGAGAATGACTAAAAAGTGATGAGTTTTGGAATTAACAACTAAAATAATTATACAAATAAAAATAACTGAAAGCCAAAAGTACACTGCACGTTGATCTATGACGTTGAATTATCTTACATGTTACAAGTCGTACTAGATTTTGAAATTGTTGTTGCCAAAAAGTAAAAACCTTTTGGCAGCTAAAAAACTATAATGTTGAAATTTTTAAAAAAATGTGTTTTGTTAAGTGCTAAAAAAAAGAAAAAAAATTAAACAGAAAGTTATAAAATAATTTTATAAAATTAAAACTAATAATAATAAAAAGTACATTTCTTAAATTTTGCATTAAAACAGTCAAGCTGGCATACCCTCTATAGTGGTAATTCACTGTAAAAAAAAACAGGCATTAGTGATCAAGTGGGCTAATTCTGGATTTTACAGCACTCTGGATTTTATTTCACTTTCAGATGGTGCATTTCAAGCATCTTTGCGCCAGGCAGTCAGAGTAGCAAGAGAGTGGTGCCAATCAAGGCTATTATTTCAGACTCCCCTTCAAGATGTATGGGGATTAGATTGTCTAAGCTCCAGATATGGCTGTGAGATGCTTATTATTGTGTGAGCAATGCAATGTCAAATGTTAACACTTGAACAAAATTTTTTTGCATATGACAATTACATAAAATCAGATTCTTGTAGGGAAGTGTGTAGACAACTTGTAGAAAAATTCCTTGGCATTCTGATTCTACACAGGAATACTTTAAAAAATTTTGTTGGATACTTTTCCGTTTTGCCGGCGCAAATGAAAAAGTCGTCAATAATGGTACAACTGATGCCAAACGGAATATCTTCACTGGTAACCTTTTTTGCTTCATTTTCAAAACAAGTTGCAGCTATTTCTTATCAGATTGATTGTTTCTTTCAATACTGGCATACAATTACATAGAAGTTTTACAAAAGATAGTTAAATTTTATACCCTAAGACCATTTGTGGTAATTAAGTCAATTAGGATGCAATCTCATCGCTCACCCAAAGGCTATAGGAAAGGCAAAATTAAGGGTTAAATTCCCCCATTCTAATGAGAATGCACTAGCGAAGTAAAGCACTGAGATTTTACATAATATCTGAGTAAGCTATTTGTACGAACTGTAATAATTCTTGCATTTAAACTTGTATTCCAAATTAAGATTTAACTTGACATTAATGTAGATAATTACTGAGAGAATTATATTTTTGTAGCGTAGTTTACGTGTGATGAGATCACTTTGGGTTACGTGATACAAAACGGCGAATCAGGATGTTGAACCATGAAAGCATAGTAAATTCTTAAATTAATGTCTTTTTACAAAATTGTAAATCATATTAATATGTTTATGCCTTCAAAATAAAAAAATCTTAGAACTAAAATTTTTTATGTGTATACTGTAGCCAACAAAGTCTACTTGGCGAGATTTGCGCCAGCGAAACAGAAACCTTTTGTTGTTAAATTAAAGGAAACTGGGTCATTCAACAATACAACTCGTAAAGGAGGGGGAAATTAAATGGAAATGAAAGTGTTGAAATTGGAGAATTATTACAACATACTCCAACAAAATCTCTATATTGTGTCTCACAGGAAACAGGTATTTCAAAAGTTTCGGTGTGTTTCAAAAGCCAGAAATGATGTCCATATGCTCAGCCTACGAGAAATAAGAGAGGATGCCAGGAATACCTGCAAGCATATGGACACCATTTTGAACAACTCTTATAATACTAGTGAGTATTAATTATATCACAGATATAAATAAAATGATGTGCTAGATTTTTATTAAAAGTTTATGACAATAAACAAGTTGAGTACCTGCCACTGCTTGGCACAAAGATGTTTGAAATGCTCTGTACATTTTAAAAATCTGTAAATATTCTTTAAGTTGTAAACAATCAATAGAAATTTTAGTAACACTATTCCATACAGATATGAAGATATTTTTGAGATCTTCATATCTGTATCAGAGGTATGTTTTGTACTGTGAAAAATGGACAATGAAATTAAATCATTTACAGAGTTTCAAATGAACCACACAAAAAAATACTGCTGAAGAAAAGTACAGAAGAAAGCTCCACTTGTCAAGAAAATATTTTGATTGAGCAGAATTATCTGATTAAAAACAGTTAACAAAATACCATATTCAGAAAGATATATAACAATCATTTTAAGTTAAAGAAATGCTGAGTTTATACAATTAAGTGAAATGACCCCCCAATTTTCTAAACAATGACATCTCTTTCATTAAAAGCTGAATTCTACTTTTTAGGAAGTAATAAAGCAATACAACATGCATTTTAATAATACTATATAGTATTGATAACCTTTTTTTATGGCAATAGCATCATGTAAATAATCATCTTTAAAATTGAAGACTACTTCTGGGAACATAAACAAACATCAGTTCTAAACATCATATGGGACTGGTCTTTGGAGGCTTTAGGATTTGTGTAAGCAATTTAGGGACACGGGACTATTAACATATTACGTAATCGCCTTGGTTTCATGTTAGTCATTAAAATCAATCAAATTACTGATGGAAAGTTGATTTAAAAAAAAAGAAAGGTTAGAGCAGATTGAAGGGTATCCCTTGTATTATTGCAAAGTTGTTTCATTTAGCGCGAAGTCAAGGGAGTGCACAATGCCTAGTTTGTGTAATTCTGTGATGTTTTTGAAGTGAAAATAGGTCAATGTATACATGAATACAGAGTTTGTTCAATTCTTGTTATTTTGTGTTTGTGTAGTGATGATTTTTGGCACTAAAATTGCCGCTACACAAAGCCAAAATAACAAGTCAAAGAACTGCATAAACTCGGTATCCATGTACCGCCAAATACCACCAATGGGTAACCGTAAATATACTTTTACAGTAAAAGTATAGTTTAGGGTACCCTTTGGCGAAACTTGGCGGTACATGGATACCGATTTCGTGCAATTCTTTGACTCGTTATTTTAGCTTGCGAAGCGGCGATTTTTACGCCGCTACACAAAGCCAAAATAACAAGACAAACAATTGCACAAACTCGGTATCCATGTACACATCAACTTATTTTCACTTAAAAAAAAAAATCCCCGAATTGCACAAAAATGGCATTGCGCACTCCTTTGACTTTATCCATGTACACGTCGACCTATTTTCACTTAAAAAAAAATCCCAGAATTGCAGAAAAATGGCATTGCACACTCTTTTAACTTTGTCCATGTACACATCGATATATTTTTACTTAAAAAGTCAAAGGAGCACCAAATTCTACAATACAAGCAAACAAAAAATGCATAATCTCAATAAAATACATTTTAAACCAAACAATAAAATAACATAAAAAAGGAAAAACATGTTATACATTTAAGCACTACCAAAAGCAAATATTCACTTACCATGATTTTCGAGTTCGCTTCGTACACCCAGAGCCACGTAAAAATCAAAATATCAATCATACTCAAATGACTTTTTTCAAACCAGGTACTCTTTCTGATCGAACGCTTCGCATAGTGACCATCTGAACCTTTCTTCCTACAAACCCATTCAAATCCATCTAAATGGTTTTTACGTTCGACTAAACGCATATCCTTCCTACATACAGGACACTTATAATGGCTACTAAGTAAACCTTCATTTACACACCAGTCAATTAAAGCTCTTTTTCCCTTTTGCTCCAAATCATACAGAAACTTCAAATTAATCTTACTACATTCGGCCATTCTACCGTCTACAAACCAACACACACCACAAAAATGCTTACAAAACATCCCGATTCAAAATTTCCCAGAATCATGCATCCGATTACATCACAATAGGGTTTCCATAACATTCAACTACTCAGGCTACCATAAATGAAACAACAACTTAGCGATAAAAATCAAACAACAATTTCACCATAATACAAGGGGTACCTTAAAGTCTACTCTACCCTACTTTTACCAAAAGAAATGAACGGATTCAGATTTTAACATTGCAGCAGAGGGTTTATTAAGGTTTTTTATGCTCTCTTTGAACTCTCAGTTTAGTAGCTGCTCTTGGACTCATTCCAGCAGACACAACTTGTCTTTGTAACTTTTACTATTAAACATCATTTTCTTTGCACTTATGCCTCATAAAATTCAACAGAAAGATTACAAAATTTTTAAAAGCAGCATATCTTTACAATTCCTGCAACTGCCATACTTTTTTTCCCAGAAGTGCTATTACTCTTAAACATTACTTTGGTATAAGATCATTTTTGTTTTTTGTTTCACTTTTCAAACAACCAGCCACTAGCAAGGCTAATGGTCTAAAATAGTTACTATTAAAAAAAAAAAAAGAAAAAAAAACCCATTTAATGCTTTTAATTAATCTAGCTAGCATGATTTCATGGATCCAGCTGTAGCATTGGTAATTAATCAAAGTGATAAAGAAATGAGTTAAATGAGCATTTATATTCCTTAGTTTGTTAATCAATAACAGGTAGATTAAATTAAAAAGATAAATTAAATACTCTATGTTTCACCAAATGGATATAAAAAAGGCACATGCAAGTTAAAATATTTTATATTAGATATCTTTAGAATATCTGATAAGAGATAATATTGGGTGACATCATCTTTTATTTTATTACTTTTACTATTATTATTTTTTTATATTCACTATATCCTTTATTTAAAAATAATACATGGTAATAATATTTGGTGGCAATGTTTGAAAAGTGATAAAAAGGTGATTTGAAAAGTGAGCTTTGATACTAATGGCACCTCTGGTCCTTAAAAAAACAGCAACACTGTTGGAATTGAATTACTAAAAACAAAAGTGTCATTAAAAAAGAAAAAAAAAATCATTGCCATCATGGTATTATATAGCACATTCAACATAATTCAATTTAACAAATAATAAGGATTCTTTTGGGTAAAGTAAACATTACCTTTTCTGAATAACTAAATATAAGAAATTAAAAATTTTTGAAGTCCTCACCTGGATCAATACTGCTGACAAGAAACTGCAACTTTCTCCTCTGTTCAAGAAGATGGTGTTTTAGAGATCTTGTGTTAGTCACTAAACTAGATAAGATCTCTTCCAGTTCCCCATAATTAGATGAATTTTCATCTTCTGCAATATTTATATCACTGTTTCCATTTTCTTGTTCAGAAAACTGACTGCTAAATTCTTGAAGTTCTCTCATTTCTTGTTTCATTTGTTCCAGTAACTTCTGTGAAACTTCTTTCCAATCCTCTTGAGGAGGATCTGCATCTTTTTTCACTACAGATTCATGACGTGAGAGGAAAAGAGGCTTTGAAGAACCTCCCGCCCAAGGAAATGAATGGTAAGAATTAAAACTCTGAGATATTTTTCTCATAAGTGAAACATTCTCTTCTTCTACAGATGTACTCTTTGTTCTAAGTTTTTGATTTTCACCTTCAGCTGATGATAGTCGTCCCTCTAATTCTCTTGTTCTTTCAGATAGTTTAGAAATAGCTAAATCCAATTCTTTAGCCTTCTGACGAGCAGCATCGCGCTCTTTTTGCAATCTTAAACTTTCAGTCTTCCATCGTACTACTTCATATGATAGTTGGACTTTGCATGCAACCAATAAATTGACGTCAGTTTCACTTTTATTTTTGGGTACAGCACTTGTTCTGAGATTAGAATCTTGTCGACAACCATAACCACTTCCTGAAGGTTGAGGTTCTGCTTCTTTTAAATGATTATTATTCTCCAACACTTCCATAGCAACTGATAAAATAAAATTCAAAGTTGTATAAATAATATAAGTGTATAATTTAAATAAAAATGGATACAACAATTTCTATAATTACCAATGAAAGCAAAACAAATGATCTTAAAAGAAAAGACTCTATAATGAATATAGGTTATCATATACAAATATCAATTTAATTAATTAATCCCCCTTATTTTCATATTTAATGGTGTTTAAATTATAAACATGAAAAATATTGTATTTAACTTTTAAAAGTCTTATAGGCTAACTTCGAAAAGTTTCAACCCGCCCTCCCGAAAAAAAAAATCAGTGCTATCAAATGCTTTCCTCTGAAATTTCAGTAATTTATAAATATTTCATATTAAATATATTGCAATATACTATTAAATGTTTATAACTAACGATCTAGTACTTTTACATACAATAAACCATGGTTTTCCGTGAAATCACCATTAATTTTTGTTTAATTATACATCACTCCAAGAAACGAAACCTAGAATAATATGCTGTTTAATAATAATTAACAGGGTAAAAAGGATATTAAAATGAGCTTGACATAAATATATTTGCTACAAGTAAACGAAGAGTAAAAAACTGAAATACAACAATACTAGTGTAGAAAAACAAATATTGAATAAATTGCTGATTCCCAGGTATTTTTAAATCAAATGATTACATTATCAAGAAAGCAAATTTAAAAATCTTCTATACCTACAACACTATCATTTCCTCATAAGAGAAAACAACTCAATTGGAAATTACTTAGATAAGGATGTATGAACTGCTCCATTTAATATTTTGTCAGAAAGAATGAAAACGAAACTATCGATGATTGAAAGCGAGAATCGATTAAGTGTTTTCCATATTTGGTCTTTTTTATCTGAATTTATAAATTTTTTACAACAAAAATATACCTGCTATGAAATAATTAATGCTTTTAAAGTAACTTGTTTATTAATTAAGTTTATGTCCTGGAAAAATATGTCGCAGTAGTTTGGCAGCAGCATTTCAACTACTCAAATAAACACCAAACGGAGAAGTGTGTGTATACTCTGTATGTCGGAGTATTTATTCTGCATGCGCTTAAATTTAGGAAAATTTAGTGTGTATAAATTAGTTTTAAATTTATAAAGGCAAGGAAAGTACAACAATAGTAATCTTAAAATGCCTAGATCAAAGAGAAATAAACAAGGTAAGTTAGTAATGTATTTTTTTGTAAATATCATTTATGTGAAACGAAACACGTGTTATATATAACTTAAGTATTTGTATTTTTTATTTTTGATTGAAATGTTTAAATATTATGATTATTTCTGAACGGTTGCCGGTTTTTTAAAAAACTAGTAATTAATATGTAGGAAATTTGGCTCTCGTTCTTTTTAAGAATCTCGGTGCGGAACTGGGTGTTCGTATTGATATTGTTGTGCTTTTTCTCTATTTACAGTGCAAATGAAATTTATAGATGCAGTTTTAATGCGATTTTGATATGCGACGATAGTTTTATTATTCTAAATTACTGTCCTGCAGTGTGTTGCGCCAAATTTTAAATCGCTGTTTTTGTTTGTTTGTTTGTCTGTTGTAAAACTTCCCGACTCATATTTTCCTAAAAATACAGATTATTACTGGCAGTGTCATAAGTAGACCTTCTGAGCCAGTATGCAAAATAAATAAATAAATAAATAATAAAAAAATCTGCAGATTTTAAATTACGTCCAAAGGGGGCCCTTTTTTTTTTTTTAACGTTTTGTGTGTGATCTTTATTTAATAAATTTCATGTTCTTTTCTAGTTTCATGTTCATGTTCTAGTAAATTTCATGTAAATTTTTTTTTTTTTTTCCATACGGGGTGTTGCCATTGCTTGTTTTGAAATCGTTCAGATTATTACCAAAGTCCCAGGTAGTAACCTTTATCGCCTCCAAAATGTCGCCAAACTACCAGTTACCATATTGTAAAGATCAGCCGAGATTTTATATAAAATTTTGTTTTGAATATGAAATTTCCATCAATTTAAAATTTCTTTATCATAATTATTATTATTATTTACTATTTTTTAAGACATGGATACAACTCTGATATACGCCCTAATTTCACCAAATGTGGCGATATGTGTTCTGCGCTGGTTTTTGGCACAATTACGTGTTCTATGGCAATCCTGTTGACGTTGAAAAATCTTTCGCTGGAGCTCGTTTATTTGCGTCTGTGTCTGAGAAGATGGGAGGCAAAGATAAAATGATAGAAGTTGCTGAATTGAAGTTCGGCAAAAGGAAATATCATTGTGGCCATCCTGTTGAGGGGTAGTGGGTATTTGGAGGTGTGGAATCAGTGTGCCAAATTAAAATAATAAGTGCTGTCTTCACAAAATTTTACCTGTGTACTCCTCTAGGCCTGATTAAACTGCCTACCTTTTTTTGTGTCGAAATTCCAACTTTAAAAGGTAGCGTGCTGGAAAGGGTTAAGCAAATAGTTCGTGAGTGCTTTTGATATTCTAAATAATCCCAATTGTATTTATACATGGACATAATTAGAAAAAAGGCACTGACTTCAATAAATTAAAAAAATATGTATATATTCGTATTAGAAGTACAATTAATTTATTTAGAAATTAATTCCTGTTTGTTATGGCCAGGTTCCCATGTATTTAAATATTAAGATAATTAAAAAATTTCATTCTAATTAGAAATTATCTGAAAAAAATACGAGAAATAATTAGAAAAGAGTATCTTTTATTCTATAAAAATAAAATCATTTTATTCTGATTAGATTGGTAATTAATTTATTAGAATTATTATATGTAAATACACATGGGATTAGTGAGCCATACGTACGGAAAGGAGCATATTTTTTTCTAATTTTTCTTGTATGAAAATAAAATTATCTTATTCTAATTACTAGTGTATTAATTTATTTAGAAATAATTAAACAGCGATTTCCAAACGTCTACTGACAAAGTCATGTGATCATCAGCACAAAGATTTATCTGCAAAGTCCGACACCCAACGCGAAGTATCAACTGTATATTCAGGAACCTTGCCAAGTGTCGATTATCTGAATATCCCCACTTAAAGAGGAAATCACCCAGACAGTGGCTGCCATTCCACCAGATATGACACTAAGAACTATGGCCAGCTTTCAGAAAAGCGTTTGACAGTGTGTCAAGACGCTATTTACCAAACATGATTTTTACATTTTTAATGTAAAATAGCATTGATTTGTTCACAAATAAAAGTATTTTTTCTGTGTCTGTATTGATTTGTAACTGCCGTTTGAAATACGCGAGGTTGATTTGCCTGACCTTGTAAATACAATTTATAGTGTACTTGCGTTTAATTTCCAAAACATTTTTATTGTCATGAAATAAAGCACCCAGATCTTAAAAATGTTTTCGTATACATTTCTAATTTATGTTTATCATGCATGGTAATGATCCATTCTGATGTGAGCAGTCTGTGGAAACATAATATAAATTGCAATTATGCAGATGTGGTTGGCTCCTACATGAATCCTGATCTTTATGAGCGATCAGTAAAAACACTTCTCCTTCCTATGATTTTTGAGTGTGCAAATTGGAATTCTATTAATATTTTTCTACTACTTACATGTGTGTTTTTGATTATTTGTGTTCTTAATATTTTAAATAGTTTAGAATTAAATGTTTGATGTTATTTTAACAAATGGATATTTAAACCATGGAAATAATAGTATAAATCACCCCTTTTTTCTTTAACTCCAGAAAACTCTTACTTAATTTTCACACTAATGAAAATTTCTTTTAGTGGAATTGGCAAAAACCAAAAAGCGAGGTTTAGAAGGGAAAAAACACTTGTATCAAGAAGTAAGTTTGTTTTGAATTTTTTAAACTTAAATAGTATTTTAATTCCAGTAGTAACTTAATAATTTTTAATTCAACATTTATAATTTTTAGTATTGTATAATGTTTACAGCCTTTTATATTCAGATCAGTATTTAATATTGTGATTTGATTTATAAAGTCATTAAGAGGCAGTGTCATATTGTGAAACATTATTTTTATGTTAAATTAATCAAAACATAGATAATAAATCAAGGGGGGGGAATAGTGAAATGTGTATCAAAACAAAAGGAATCTTAAACTTTCAGAGATATCCAAGTGACCTGTGAGGTCAGGAGTTAAGATAATGTTAAAGCAATTATTTTATATGAAGAAAGGAAGAATCTGTAGGCAGCTCCACTATGGGAAACTATAATTATTTTCAAAATCTAGAGCTTAAAGCTGAGCTGTTTACAGTGGTTTATCAACTTTTGCATGTGAATTTTGAATGCTCAAAAAAAGAGGGGGAAGTAATCAATAAATTTTTATTTAGCATATTTGTGTACCTAATGTTAACCACTGCTGAGACTTTTTTTTGGGGGGGGGAGTGTCAAGATATACAGTCAAAAGTCGTTAATTCGGACACCCATAATTCGGAATGATCTATAATCTGGACCTCAAAACTAAAAACTTTCTGCGCATGCGCCGCGTTGACACATGCGCATAGGCGTTTACGCGTGCGCGTAAGACCTTTTACGACTGCGCATATGAGTGTGAGCAAGTGCAGAATACGTTTTCGCGTGTGCGTTTTATGTATAATGGACGTATAAGCTAAATTATCTAATTATCTATTTCAGTTAATGTTGCAGATTGCGTTGTTCCTTAATTTTCGAATTGGATCCGGCTTATTATTTTTTGCAGACTATTTAGAACAATTTTATAAAAGTAAGCTTAAACTTTCGATTATATCAAATAGAATTTCCGATATATATTTGTTAATATGTAAAGGATCTAAAGCGAAAGTATGTTTTGAAATCCGAAATCTTTTTTATTCAATTTCACGCTGCTCGGGGGGGGAACGCCGCGGTGGGCGCGTAATGAATTGGAAGTTGATCTGTCAGTACTATCCTTATCTTCAGGGCAGATGTTTTTATTTTATTTGGTTTATAATTCCTTACCAAATGTAGTATTTCATCTCGATATGTACTCCGTCTTTGATATGATTTAAAACAAGTTCCTCCTCGTCATTATAATTCGCTTCGATAGCGAAGAAAGTGACAGAGGTTATTGAAAACGAAAAAATTTCGATTGACAAATTAGTCGGTGTTCTCGACACAGCAAGCATTATAGGACTTGAACAGCGGAACTTTGTAACTGAACAAGAAATTATGTCTGTTTAATAGAATTAAAGAGAAAGTATTATCACATAAAAAGCAAAACTTAAACAACTTACATTGAAAGAAATGTTTAATAAAGTAAACAAATAAATATTAAGCTTTTTTCTTTTTTGTAAATTTTGATACCCTTTAGATCATAATTGTTCTTTATTTCATAAATTACGGTTTCATATTTTTAATTTTAGAATTTCTGCATGCCATCTTACGAGATTTAAACTGATGATCTATAATCCGGAATTGCCGAAGTCCCGACGAGTCCGGATTAACGACTTTTGACTGTAGTGATAATTTGCCATTAAATGACTATCTGTCTATTGCAGTCATGCCTTTAAATTTTGCCATCCTTTAATTACATGCATAGGCTTGTTCTGTTAGCTTTGATGCATTCTGCATTTGTTAATTCCTTAATTACTGCCAGAATTTGCTGAGTAGTGCAACCAAAGCTATCCACTTTTTTCTGAGAATTATAGAATATTGCCAAACAGTTAACTTGTTCAGAAATGTCTATCACACACTGATTCCTCAGTTATGATTCATTCTTGATGTGAAAACTCACTATGAATTGCATTTGTACAGATGTAGTTTACTCTTACATGTATGACCTAGATCTTTATGAGCAGTCTGTGAAAACCCTTCTCCTTCTTTGAATTTTGAGTATATCTGTGGAATTTTTGAGCCACATTAGTTGTGTGTATTAATTTTCATTGAATCAGATATAGATCTTTTTATGTTTTGTTTGTTATTGCATAGATATCAAACTTCTGTAAAAGCGTGCTAATTCGCTCCCTTGTCCTTGTATTAACTTGATATCCTGGTATCTGTTATGAATTAGTGAACTGATAAGGTACTCTTGATTTTCATTTCCCTGTTGGAATAATAGCTATTCTCACAACAGGTAGCCGAGCATCCACAAACAATGATCAGAACCAAAGGAATTGATAACATTACTGTAATAAACCACATGAAAAGCAGCAAAGCATAAATATATATGAAGAAATCATACATACATACATACTTTTATTACATTACCAGATTATTATATTAAATTGCTAGGCTAAAATTATCTAATTGTCTATTTCAGTTAATGTTGCAGAGTGCGTTGTCCCTTAATCGTCTAATTGGATCCGGCTTATTATTTTTTGCGGAACTTACGTATTAATGCAACCAGGCCAAAATTTGCATAAATCGCCAAATTTGGCGACTCTACTTACGGCAACCCTACGTGTTATACGTAGTTTTTCGTAAAGAAATTATTTTTCTTACTGGTTAGATTGAATGCCCTGAAATACTTTAACTATGGGTATTTGGGATCTGTCTGCGAGTGAAAAAGATGCTGTTGAATTGTTGCAGGGATGTGGAATTATACCGAACGAACGTACTTGTAAAAATTCTCATAAAATGAAACTGTATTTTGGAAAGCAAATCTTCTGGAAATGTAACGTCGAAGAGTGCAATCAACATTTGGGTGTGAGAACCGGAAATTGGTTTGAAGGTAGCCGAATTTCATTTGTGACAGCGGTGCGCTTCATTTATTGTTGGTGTAAAGAGTTAACCTCAATTAAATTTTGTGCAAAAGAGATGAGAATTGCTGACAAAACTGTTATAGATTGGAATAATTACAATGGCGAAGACGGTTTTCAATCAGTGCTAAAAGCAATAGCCAAAAGATTTCCGCCAAAAAAATAACTCTGCAACTTATTCAATTTCGAAACCGGAAGGGTTTAATTGCTATTTTATATTTTAAAACAAAATAATATAAAAACTGTATTAAAAATTATCTGTAATTAATAAATGTACATTTTCTTTTATTTCATACTTTTTTACTCAAACTTACAAATCGTGCCAACCTGGTTGCGATAATATGTAAGTACCTTTTTGCAGACGTTAGAGCAATTTTTTAAGCTTGAACTCGATTAGTCAAAAGAATTTTCATTCTGAGCTGCCAAAGGATCTACAAAGCGAAAGCATGTGTCGATGTCCATCAAAACAAAAAGTTGAATTGCTGCAAAAAATAGATAAAGGCATGAAGAAAGTCACAGAGAGGTTAGGGAAAAACAAAAAATTTGATTGACAAGTTAGTGGTATTCTCCGACACAGCAATTACAGGACTTAAGCGGAATTTGAACCGAACAAGAAATTTTGTCTTTAAAGAATTAAAGAGAAAGTAAGCACATAAAACGAAGCAACTTAAACAACTTACATTGAAAGAAATGTTTAATAAAGTAAACAATAAATATTAAGCTTTTTTTTTTTTTTTTGTAAATTCGATACCCTTTAGATCGTAATTGCTCTTTATTTCATAAAATATGGTTTCATATTTAAAATTTTATAATTTCTGCATGCCATCTTACCAGATTTAAATTGATGATCTATAATACAGAATCGCCAAAGTCCTGACGAGTCTGGATTAAAGACTTCGTACTGTATTTCACATTAGTTATTGGTTACCATTTTACTATTGTAATCTTTATTGACTGATACTATAATCTTTATTCAATGATTACAACACTGATAGACATCCCTATTTTGTATTCACATAAATGTTGTCCTAATGTCAACTCTAACCCTAATGTCTCTCAACATGACCCGAAATTTGTCCACAGTTTTAACAGATTGCCACCATAGTTCAGCAGAGTGATGGTGATGCTGACATTGGTAATAACCTAAACATATTGCAGAATCCTGTGTTGCAATTATATGGTAGAATTCAGCTATTGTCATCTTGATGGCACTATTCAAAATTAGAGAATTTACAAGTGTTACTTTCACCTTTTTTTTTTTTTTTTACTGAATGAATGGGGATGTTACTAGATTACATCGTCACCCTGATGTAAGCAAGGCCAAATCACGTGATTCATACTTGTAACTAAAGGTAAATAAGTGTAAGGAAGGCCACCTGCTGCGAGAATACTAAATAACATTAATGTATTATGGTGGTCTTAAAGATATCTGCAGTTAATATAGCAATCATTCCCAACTGTTTAAGTGTGAAAATGCTGAGTTAACTGTTTTTCTAAATTGAAATTTATGGAAAAGGGAAATTTATCAGTCAAACTTAATGTTGGAGCCTCCTCGGGAAAAAGGAGAATATATTTTTCATTGTAAGATGCTTTTACATAGGTACAGGAAGATTTAAAGTTTTTGGCATTCATATAAAAAATATTGCTTGGCAATAAATTTCTGTTGCAGGCATGCAGTGACACTACTAAATAAATAAATTTGAAAATTTTGTTGGAGAAATCATATGTATTGTTTTTCACTCTTGATTGAATGAAATGATGTTGCAATTTGCTCTGAAATGTTAAAATTGTTCTGTGATTAAATTTTTGACTAAAGAAGGTGGCTTAATCCCAAAGAAGTATAGCAACATTTGGATCATGTGCATACCGATTCATCTTCTTTCTACACTGCAATGAAAGAATAGGTAAAATGATTTTGCATGGGTCAAAAGTCCTTAGAAGATTGCTGTTATGAATGTCAATCATTGGAGGCTTTGAAATTGGAAAATATTATTTTCAAGAAAAATATTGAGTGATAGGAGATTAGAAACCAAGGAGATAACAGCAAGAGTGGATCTGTTTAAAACTAAAAACTCATCCTATTTTCCTAACAATAAGGCATATCGAAGAGTTACAAAAATGAGATGAATTTTCTGCAATTCATGAACCAGTATATGATGACAAACTTGACGTATCATAAAAGAAACTCATTTTAAGCATTTTGGAGAAGTATGACAACCCTATCAATAATAAATTTTCTCTTTTGTGCATTCAGCAGGAACATCTGCATATTAATAGAGTCTCTGCAAGATGGGTACCCTAACTTCATTTAACTATTCAAAAACAGTTGCATATCAATACAATTCAGAAATAGCAGTGAGGATTTAAGGAGCTTGATAATCCTCCCCTTGGTTTTAGCTTCAAAGTTATCTGTTCACTAAATTTAAACCTGAATTTTGTGGAAAGAGATTTATTGATGATGATGGCATGAAAAGAGCATATGATAAATTATTAGATAACTTTTTCAAGAGCATAGAGCTTTTTATTAAATGATGTGAAAAGTGTATGGTGATGCAAGATCATATTACAAAATAAACTTATCAAAATTTTCTCTATTTCTTTTATAAGCATAACAGACAAAAAATATTTGGATCTAACTGCGTACATAGGAGGCTAAAAATTAGGTCTTAACTGCATAATTATATTCATCTGATTTAGATTTCAAAATTGTGTGCAATGTCATATGTAAAATATTACAAAAATCAACTTTTTGTTGACATTTGTCCTATAGAAAGTATTTAGAATCCTCAGAGTTTCTCTATACTGCCATATCTAATCAAATATTGACTTCATAGTATTTGATAATAATGTGTTTCTGGTAAAGATGTATGGTTTGAACATACTGATAAAGTGTTTGTTTCACATAAATATATTTTTTTTAATTACTTTTCAGTCATAAATGTGACTTGGTTAAATTTACAATATTGTTCTTATAAAATATTTATCTTATATTTTAGGTTCGCTCGTGTGCTGACAGTTATGCTCATATATTTGTATTCACTGTAACTGACATGAGGAATTCAAAGATGACAAATGTTCGAGATCAGTGGAAAGACAGCAGGTAATGCGACATTTCTATTATATTTCTAGACAGAATAGAAATAAAAATTTTGATGTAGTATGCGATATGCCATTTACTATTTTTTTGATCGTATGTTTACACTTCTTGAACTGTAAACCATAAAAAAAACTTTGCCAATCATGCAAACGGTGCTATTACTCAAACAATTAAATCATGGCGAAGAATTCAGAAGCTAAAGATTATGCATAACATGCGGAAAAGCACGCTGCAAATACATCATTGTTATTTTCTACTAGCGTTTGAGGAGATTTGTTAATAAAGGTGATGATTATTTTTTGGCCATGCTATGTGATATTCATAGTATATAGTACATAGTGTATATGGCATAGTACATTCATAGTGTATATGGCTGCAGGGTTCGTACGGTCCTTAAAAGTCCTTAATTTTTTCAAAAATTTTTTCAAAAAATGATTTTGGTCCTAAAGTCCTTAATTTTGGCCAAAATGAATAAATGTCCTTATTTTGCTCATTTGACATTTCTTATCATTTCTAATGATTGCCATTCTAAGTGTGAATTACGATTTCTCATGAATATGGAATTAAAATTCACGCTCTTAAACAATCTGTTGTCGGATTTGCGTTGCAAACGATTAAAAAAAAAAAAACAATTAGCTACCCGAACGAAAGTATCGGTGTCTGATTGGCTATTCACCCAATCTTTTGAAACAGGTGTTATCCATAAATTTAGGTAGATTGTGACGAAAGCGTGAAGCCGGAAATTCTTTAAGAGGTGAAAGTGATAATGAATGTGCTTGAGAAAAAAAAAAGGGGGGGATTCTGAAAATATTTGCCTAAATTAGAGCAATTCCAACATGGAAGCCCACAACCCTTCCGATGCCAATAGGAACGAGATGCCTGGAAGTGCATTTTCAATAACTTGGCTTCATCCAGCTGACTACAAAGACTGGATATTGATGGATGGCAATCTTAAATCGGTCTTTTCTGAACAATTGAAATTCTAGAATGGGAGCAGTGCGAAATTCACATGAAAATTTAGTTTTGTTTTATTTCAATTTGTTTTTACACTTTGGTTTAGCTTAATTTCTGTGTTTGTTTCAATTAGATAAATTAATTTTTTGATCACCTTACGAGTTTTTTTCTCTTCCCACATCTTATATGTATGGGATATCGGATTAGTTTATTTCGCAGAGGGTCTGTTTCGATTTCGCAAAATCTTTGGCTCCATTTCGTTTTAGGGCACCAAGGGCAATTCGGTAAGCTAGCCGACAAAAGTGAAGTTCAGAAATCGTTTTAAAGCTTCAATGACATTAAATATTGGTTTAAACCTATGTTTTGATAGTAATGCTAATTTTTGCTAATGGCGATACAATTTATTAGTTGAAAATACAATTAAATTTTTTAAATATTTTAAAGCTGAAAACAACTATTGAAACTAATTTTCCTGAATTAACTAGACGCAAATTAACCTTTCATGAATTACTAAAGTTATTGGGTAGAAGTTACTGAAAATAGACATTCCATAGTATATATAATATATATATTATATAGTACAAACCGAGGGGTCCGAGGTCTGGACCGTCGGACTTCATCGATCCCAGATTTGAGATTTTTCCGATATTAGATCATTTTATCTACTAAGATGGCACTAGAAATTATAAAATCGAAAATATGAAATAATGAAGCATTTATGATTTAAAAGGGTATCAAAATTTACAAAAGAAAGAGCTTAATATTTATATGTTATTTTTTAACATTTCTTTCAATGTGAGTTGTTTTTGATTTGTTTTCTCTCTGCTAATACTTTAGACATAATCGACTATAGACATATAATTTTCTTGTCAGTTATTAAGTTCCATTGTTTCAAGTCCTGTAATTGCTGTGTCAAGAATTCCGAATAACTTGTCAATCAAAATTTTTTCTTGTTCAGTAACCTCCTGTTACTTTCTTCACTAGGTAGCTGTATTTTCTGGATTTAGAACCATACTACAGATTTCGCCCTCCGTAATTGATTGATGATTGGGCATTGTCATTGCAATGAAAACTTCTGTTTAACTTTCGCTAAATTCTGCCGCCTGGTGTGGCCATGCGAGCTCTGGAGCTGGTTCTGCTTTATGTGAATAACAAATCAGTTTATTCTTAATTCAAATAGCACTAAATATAATCGTTATTCCTATGAGTATCATTAACAAAATCTATTTTTAGCATAAGGAAAGAAATTTCTGCTAAATCTCCCCTTGTCAACATTTTAGCACATTAATTAAATCTGTATCAATATACTATGTTATTTGGCATCGCTGCATGATTCATCACTCAAGTTGTCATCGTTGATAAACATGCGGTGATGAAAAGCAAATACAATAAATAATGATTCGTGATTTCGGCATCAAGGATATAAAATATTAGTTGGTGTAAAATTAATCAATGTTTCTTTTTGAGATTATGCCAAGCAGATACGCAGCTATGGAGTCAAGTTACTAAACTAATCACACAAATTTATGCTAAAATAATTATTTCTTCAATAATGAAATATTTTATTGAGCGCCAAACTGAGTTTAAGAATCGGGATTTCCGGCATGTTTTTTTATGAGGAAAAAAATGTAATGCGCATGCGTAAAGCATACCTCTTCCCTCCAAAAAAGCCCTAAAAAGTTGGTTGGTGGTGGCTTTGAGTCCGGATTTTAGATCATTCCAGATATTGGATGTCCGGATCTCGGACTTTGTATATATATATATATATATACATCTTTCAAAATAACTTACCATATGGATTCACTCTTTTAAAATAATTCTACTTTAATTAAACTTAGGAGATAATATAATCAATTAATCAATATTGTTTAGGAAATAAATTATATATATATAGTAAAAAATGTATATTTTCACTATTCAAGTATTCACTGTGACAAGTATTCTTATCTTGTCACATGAACAGGCCTCTGTGGAAAGGGGCTTCTCTGTAAATAAAGCAATTGAAATTGAAAATTTAAGTGACTCATCATACATTTTTCAACGCACAGTATTTTGATTACATAAAATTTTCTGGAGGTGTTCTTAATATCGAAATTAATAAAGAAATGAGATCAGCAGCAGCTTCTGCAAGAAGTGAGTTCGGTTATTTAAAAGAACAAAAATCTTTAACTAAATCTGAAAATTCAAAGAGAATATTACATAATAAATTATTGAGAGAAGATTATGAAGCGGAAAATGATTATAAGGGAGCATTAAGAGATTTCTTTCAAAGGGATTAAAGATTAATGAAGTAGATGCTTAGCAGATGAAGCTGAGACCAGCAGGAACATTGATTTGTTTATCAAAGCAAATGAACTTAGAAGAATAGTTAAGAAAAGGAAATAGACATAATAAATTAGATGTTAAAATAGCTGAAAATTTAAGATTTAAAAAAGGCACAAATGTTTTGTATCTTTTATGTACAGTTTATTATTCTAGTATCTTTCAAAAAACCAAGGAAATAATTGTATGTTTACAAATCAGTTATTTTAATCTGCAAAATATTCTTACATTGTGATTATAATAGTAGTTGACTGTGTTTAAATAAATATCAATTAAGTTAAATAATAATCATGTAAATCTCCAAAATAGTGACTGTTATTAGTGTAAAATACTCTTATACATGTTTTTCAAGAAATTATGTTCCTAATTTAATGCTATCTACTTCATAACTTGTAGGGAGTTTAATTTTCAAAATTGTTTATGGTAAGTATTAAATTTAATTTAATAATAGTGCATAATACCCACTTCTGTTAGTTTCTTAAAGTGAAATTACAAGCATGAAGTTGGTTGTATGGATAATTGCTTTATTCTATTCATTTTTTTGTTTGCTGATAGGTCCTAGGTTCCTTAATTTTTTCTTTGATGGTCCTTAAAAGTCCTTAATTTTCATGTAAGGAAATGTGTATGAACCCTGGGCTGATTGACTTATATAAAAGCCCTTGAAAGGGAATCGTGCATTTGTTTTGTAAAATTGGAAGCGATTTAAATTTAATGGAATTAAAAATTTAGTAGGTTATTAAATGAATTAATGGACATTTTGATTTATGTAGTCTTAATTATATATATGTACTTTCATATTTAAAAAGAACATTTTAGTAGTGTCATTTAAGAAATAAGTGACCAACTAAAAAGCCGTAGATTGCATACTACATTTCAGTATTGAAATAGACACATTAAATGTTTTAATGAAATGCTATTTCAAGGCATTCTTATTTCTGTCATAAAAGTATGCATATTTTGACTAAAAGGTTTAAAAATAATAAAGTTGATATTAAACTATAATGTAAGATTTGCATAATATATGCATTAGAAACAACTTTTATCAATTATTTAAATGCTGTAATAGTGGGCGCATATTGTTTTTCTGAGCTTATTTTGAGCAGTGCACATGCTGTAATTATATAATGTTACACTCTACTTAAGAGTAACCATACTAGATTACCAGATAAAATTTTGTTTTCTCTTCACTTTTACAACACAAACTAATAACAACATATAAAAGAAACTAAAATATTTATTGGTGTTTCAGCTTAAAATTACATCCAACATTAACAAAACTTTAAACTCCTGCTGTTTATAACCTGGGCATACAATATTAGTTCATTTAATTACAAATCAAATATCAAAGACTTAAACCTGGCTCCTAAACAAATACATCTTCAACTAAAAAGCTAACTCACTGTATAGTGCTCCAGCAGGAAGAATTGAAATTGCATGCTCTGGACATGAATTGTCAAAACTGTCTATAAATTTCGAATCTCACTTATTACTGAAACTCACTGATTTTGTAATTCCTGATAGAGCAGATGGTACAGTATAGATGCATGAAAGATTCAGTTATCTTCAGAATCTCCAGTGCACGAGACTGTATATCAGAAATTCTAAAGATATGCACTTTTAAATATTTTGTGATGTTGCTGTTGAATTGAATTTTATGGTTAAAGTGAGAAAAGCATGATATTTAATAAATAAAAATAGCACACAAAGCGTCAAAAAAAAAATATCCCTTGGGCATAATATAAAATCTGAAAGCTTCCAGATCTTTTTTTGAGAAGAGTTAATTTTTTTATGGAATTTTTGATTTCTTTTTACTTACTTGTTTTACCTCACTGGAAACTCTATTCGGTTTAATTGCATGCAGTAGGAAAACTTCTTTCTTACTTTTCTTTAACATATTATTCTTTTTTTTCCTAGTACATGTAACGGGCAAAAATTCTACTGATACTACCATAAAACAAAAATTTTTTCAAACTAAAACTTGTGTGCAAAAACACATAGCTTTAAGTAAGAAATTATTTTTTTATTAAATTTATTGAGTTTTTTATATGACTAGTCTGTTTTTAACATTTTTATCTCCAGTGCGCAAGACTGTGTATCGAAAACTCTAAAGCTATGCTCTTTTAATTATTTTGTAATATAGCTGTTGAATTTAATTTTATGATTTAAGCATGAACAGAATATTTAATAAATAAAGGTAACACTCAAAATGTTAAAAAGGCACTCGTCTGGGTATACTATAAAATCTGAAAGCTTTCAGATTTTTGGGGGGATTTCACAGTTTGAGATTTGTCAAGAAGTGAACAAATGGCTATTCTTTTTCTTTGTGGAAACGTTCATAGCAATTTTGGCATGCTATCTGCAACATAATGAGAGTTACAAGGGCTGTTCTCATCTATGTTTTTTCTTGCATTGTGTAAGTATGTGTGTGTGTCTTCCTTCAGTTTGTTCTGTTCATGTCTGCAATCATTCAGTGACTATTCTTCAATTAACTTCAAGACCTGAACTGACCTGAACTGTTATATGAAAAATGTTGATCATTTATTAAATGTACAAGTATGAACATTTTGCTTCAAAATTGGTTTAATTTATTATTTTTGACATTCGTTTATGTTCACAAGTATATTTCATATAAAATCAATTAACATACATAAAAAAAATTGTACTTTTCCGTTTTGCCGTCGCAAATCTCGCCAAGCAGACTTTATTGGCGACAACATACAGTATACACAAAAAATATTTAAAAAATGTTAGTTGTAAGAATTTTTTTATTTTGAAGGCATAAACATTTTAATATCTCTTAAAATTTTATAAAAAGCCATAAATAAAGACATAAATTGTAAAAACGACATTAATTTAAGAATTCACTATGCTTTCATGGTTCAACATCCTGATTCGCCGGTTCATATCACGTGACCCCAAGCGATCTTATCTCACGTAAACTACTCTACAAAAATCTAATGCTCTCAGTAATTATCTACATGAATTTCAAGTTAAATCTTAATTTGGAACACAAGGTAAATGCAAGAAATATTTCAATTCGTACAAATAGCTTACTCAGAAATTATGTAAAACTGCAGTGCTTCACTTCACTAATGCTTTCTCATTAGAATTGATGAATTTAACCCTTGACTTTACCTTTTCTATATTTTCGGGTAAGCGCTGTGATTGCATCCTAATTGACTTAATTACCGAAAATGGCCTAAGACATAAAACTGTACTATCTGATAAAAATTCTATGTAATTATATGCCAGTATTGAAAGAAACAATCAATCTGATAAGAAAAAGCTGCGACTTGTTTTGAAAACGAGGCGTAAAAGGTTACCAGCGAGAATATTCCGTTTGGCATCGGTTGTACCATTATTGGCGACTTTATCGTTTGCAACCGGCAAAACGGAAAAGTACCAAAAAAATTAACCCAAAAGGCAATTAATATCGAAACACGATTTTGTGTTGTACTTTAATATGTTGTTTCTCTTTTCATTTGAGTGTGTTGCCATTCATTAGAATGTAAGATATTTGCATTTCACATTGGATCTATCCATTTTTTGTTAACAAACAAAGTAATATATGCAGTTCTTAAGAATGTTATTTTTTTATTATTAATCTTGTAAGATTCTAACCTTTGTACTTTTTAAGTTACAGTTAATGTTGAAGAACTGATAAGCAAATAGTCACTTGAGTTTGTGAGACAGAGAACAAAACATAAGAAGGGTGAAATTACCCTTTATTATTCCAATAAATTTTAACAGATGACTCCTTTGAGTTACAATAAACTTAAGAAACTAAGAACTAAAACTTAACTAATCATAACTAAAAAGATATAGCGAAGCTATCAGGATTCTAACAGTGGTGGCCTCTTAACGCTAATTAATGGCGAAGCTGTCAAGGGCCTAAAGTACGGCTGTGCGGTAGTAATAGCCTAAGAGAGAATGTAGTCTAAAAAGGTGAACGCATGCTAGTCAGAATCACTGGCTCTCTAAGGAGTCAGTAGAACTTCACAGTTAAATACTTCTCCTCGTTTGCATTCAAACATGATTCTAAAAATACATTCTGGCCAGAAGTTGTAAGCTTGAAATTAAGAAGAGATAGAAAAGTAACTCAAAATTTAACTGTTAGATAAATTAACATAATCCTTACAATCTGATTGATTTAAATAAATGTACATTTAATTCATGATGTACCTAATTAAAATCATTCAGTATTTTTACAGAATTACGTTATATATGTATATTATAATTTTTAAATATACAGAAGATACCTAACATTCCCATGTTAGTCTCAAGGTATTTTCATCTACTGATTTGTAAGATGTTCATCTAAACATCTTACAAAGAATCTTACTTTACCACTAGGCCACTGGCAAACAGATGTAGGATTTGTGATTAAAATTTTAACCAAATTTGCATATGCTTACAGTAATTTTTATTCTCACCTACGAATTAAATTGTTTTTGGAATAATATAAAGTTAACTTATTTACAGATAAGAAAATTATTTGTTTATTTACTAAGTAGAAAGGATAAAAAAATGGTAAAATAATTTTCAGACAGAAAAATCAAACTGTACACAGATAAAAATCTTACCCTTTTTTAACATAGTGGGAAATCCCAACTGTCTTAGGTATGGCTCAAGATTGTAAGGAAATTGAGATAAAGCTCCTTCATATAATGTAACAGTTGCAGTTACATTATTAGTTGGCCTTGCAAAATCCCCTTTGGAATATGAGCAAAACCAACTACAAGTAAAAATAATATACAATAAAATTATAAATAATATGGCTATTATTATAAAATATGTACTATAGCTATTATGAAAAAAAAAATGAAAACTTAAAACGCTTTGTTATCATACATTTTAAACATACTTGAGTACTTCTTCAGATGACCAATTAGAGAATAAAAGGCCGCGTTCACTTTCAAGTCGTTGACCAATTTTATGAAGATTAGGTTTGTTTTAAAATATAATCATCAATCAATCTTAAAACATCTTACTTTTTTACATGAGCCTCTCTTACTCTTTTACCTTTTGAAGATTTTTACTGATAAACCACATTAAAATTAAACTTTAAAAGAGCGCTTTTGGGCAACTGTTAACATCTGAACACTTTCAGCCTGTTTTTTTTTTTCCTTCTCAGTTTTTGTGAAACTGTTTATTTTCTTTGTGCAAAGCATTGTAATAGTGTCCCAGTAATGACTTCAGTTAATCACAAAAGCTGAATTTTCTTCAAAATAATGTTAATCATTCGTAAAATTTACAGCTACAAACATTGTCCCTCAAAACTAGTTTAATTTGTTATTTTTTGACATTTGTTTATATTGACAAGTATAATTCAGACAAAATGAATAACATATATAAGGACTTTTTCTCTTCCCCCCCCCTTTATAATTCTCGTAGAATTTTTATTGTAGCAAAGCATTGTAATAAATGTTACAGAGTATTGTAGTCATTCATCATTTGGAATAAGGATTGTATACATAAATAGTTGCTTAATCTTTTATCACATTATCCAAGAAGATTGTATAAACTTGTATTCTGTTTCTGTTTTATCAAATGAAATAATCATTTTTCTTGAATGTTTTAGATTTTTCATTGGTAAGAATAAAGTTATGGCATTGGCTTTAGGTAGAACACTGGAGGAAGAATACAAACCTAATCTTCATAAAATTGGTCAACGACTTAAAGGTGAACGTGGCCTTTTATTCTCTAATCGGTCATCTGAAGAAGTACTCAGGTATGTTTAAAATGTATAACACAGTGTTAAGTTTTCATTTTTTTATAATAGCCATAGTACATATTTTATAATGATAGCCATCTTATTTATAATTTTATTGTATAATATTTTTACTTGTAGTTGGTTTCGCTCATATTCCGAAGGGGATTTTGCAAGGTCGGGTAATAATGCAACTGAAACTGTTGTGTTGCATGAGGGAGCTTTATCTCAATTTCCTCACAGTCTTGAGCCATACCTAAGACAGTTGGGACTTCCCACTACATTAAAAAAGGGTAAGATTTTTATCAGTGTACAGTTGAATTTTTCTGTCTGAAAAATTCTTTTACTATTTTTTTATCTTTTACACTTAGTAAGTAAGCAATTAACTTTCTTATCTCTAAATAAGTTAATTTTATATTATTCCAAAAAAAAAAATTAATTCTTAGATGAGGATAACAATTACTGTAAGCATATGCAAATTTGGTTAAAGTTGTAGTTATAAACCGTATACATGTGTGCCCAAGTGGTCAAGTCGCTGAACACTGATATTTAGGTTCTAGGTTTGAATCCCATGAATGGGCCGGCTGCATAGGTGTTTTCATGGTTTTCCCCATCTAGCATCTATGAGTCAGTTTTCCTTGGAAAGTCTTCAACGAAGGCATCTCTTCCCGAAGGTGGATAGCCCTCCAGTGCTTTGCCATAATCAAGTAAATCCGTAAACCATGCAAGGAACTTTTATACGTCACCGGAAAAAGTGAATACGTACTTTTAATAAATAATAATATTTCCCCCCCCCCTCTTGTTGCTCAGTTAAAAAACAAAAATTGCTAGTTTTGTTCTTTACAAGATTTACAGAGTTTGCAATGAATTTTGCTCCCACTTTTTAAAGTTTGCTGTTTAATTTAACTGAGTTTTTCGTTTTTGTTTTTTCTTTTTTTAAATTTGTGCGTGCCAGTCTGTTTTCTTCAATTCTACTCTGTTCTTGTTTAAGTCATGTCCCAATAATGACTTTAATTAATTTTAAAAGCTGAACATTCTTCAAAATAATGTTCAAGCTAATCATTTGTAAAATTTACAACTACAAACATTTTGCTTCAAAACTGGTTTAATTTGTTATTTTTTGACATTTGTTTATGTTCACAAGTATAATTCAGATAAAATCAGTAACATATGTAAGGACCTTTTTTTTTGCCCCTTAATGATTCTTGTGAAATTTTTATTGTAGCAAAGCATTGTAATGTTACAGATTATTGTAGGCATTTATCATTTGGAATAAGGATTATTATGTACAAATGGTAATTTAATTAATTTTTTATGCCATTATCCAAAAAGTTTGCATAAGCTTGTTGACAAAATATCTAAAAGGGGGATCATGAGGCACTGCAATCGCATTTCTGTATTTCTTTCAGTTTTACAGTAAAATATCTTAAGAATTCCAACTAGAATAGAATTTTTACTCTTAGGAAGAATTCACAAGTCCTTTTGGTTAATGTTGATATTAAATAAAGCAGGAATTTTAAAACCATGCCCAAAATTCTATAAACACAAAAGCCACTTGCTTTTTATTTGCAAGACATTAGTGACATTCTGAATAAATATAATTCTGAAACTGTAATGTCTTTTTTAGACTTCTTGTATGTGCATATTCAACTAGCAAATCAATTAAAAAAATTATCACTAGATAGAAATTTTGAAATCGTAACTTATGCAAAATCTAGTTATTTGTCAAATGGGATTATAGAATTCGGGTTTGAAACGTAATTTTGTTTAGCTCCCTTTCCCCAAAGGGAGCTTTCATTTCTCTCAAATGCTTAGTCTTTCCTGAACTATATCTGATAGCTTTCATTAAATTAAAATAAATAATTTGTCAATATTTTATATCAAAATGAGTTGTCTATGAAAGGATAAACAAAAATTTGTGGAAGTATAACAAGTATGCTTCCCAGGCAATTTAATATTTTATTAAGTTCTTTAAAAATGTTTGTGCTTTCATTGTTCTTTTGGTGTGTGCAGTGTTACCTTAATTAATTTAATTGCAGTTATTTTCAAATTTGTAATCTTATATTATTTGTAATATTAGAAATATGTAATTGTGTATTAATTTAATTTTTTTTGGTCATATTTTTTTTTTAAATAAAAAGAATTGTGAACTGAAATTGTAATTTTTTCCTTTAAAATTTTAATGAGATATAACTGTAGTATTTTTGAACAAGGATTAATTAATTTGTATCAATATAGTAGTTTTGTATATATATTATATTTGTAATGTATTCTATAAAATTTATTTCTTTGTAGGAATTGTTCATCTCGTCAAAGATTATGAAGTATGCAAGGTTGGTGATACTTTAACACCCGAGACTGCAAAGATTTTGGTTAGTATTATAATTTCAAAGTTTTTAAAATATGATAAGCTCAAGTGTTGGAACGAAGGGCCAACTAAAAATGATGTATAAATGAGACAATTTTTTTATTCTAATTACAATAACTTTTAGTAGTCTTTTTTACTGTTTTTAAGATATAGTAAAAGTAATTACAGTTAAAGTTAGTGTAATTAGAGCCATAATTAAACCTAAAAATAGTTATAAATTGAAAGTAGTTAGTAGAATAAGAAAAACATAAATGACTGGTATTACAAACAGATGTACTGTTTGAAAGCTAAAATAACTCAGAATTTTTATTAAAATCTTATTTATAAATTTTGAAATAGGTGTAAAACTAAAGCTTTAAAAAAAACCCGAAAATAGCTATTTCAAGTTTGTTGAAATGAAAATGTTTCACATTAGGTACTAATGCTGAATGTTGAAAGTTACCGAAGTTTTTTACAGCTTTCACAAAATTTGGGAATCTTTTGTTAAAATTTCCTTGTTCTTTTTCTTTCATTTTAGTAATCCAAGAATTTATAGCCTTTTTTTGAATATACCTCGGTTTTTCTACTGATTTCTCGGTATTTTTACTGATGTCCGCAAATTCTTTTGTCCCCTTGAAATGATATTTTACTTTTCTTTATGTGTTGCTTGTTCTTGAAAGATGATTAATCAGTTCCTTGCTCTAAAGAACCAAAAACAGCTTTCTCAGTGTAATATTTGATATAAGTTTCAATTACATCTTTCTGTAATGAACAGAGCACAATATCAAATGTAAACCAACTGATGGTATGTTTCATCTGTTGAACAGCAAAAATTATTTGAATCAAAGTTTTTCCTGTAGTGCATTTTTGCATTGCACATAATCCCCAGATTCAATTGATGAAGGTTATTTTTTTCTTGCTGTTTCGGGGAGGCAATGTTACCTTTGTTTTCCTGAGTACTGGGAAGTCAGGAAGATAATTGAGACAATTATCCATGAATCTAATTATTTTCCTTAGCTGTCTTTCCATTTTCTCAATGAACTTTTGAGGGAATTAAGGGTGTTGTTTTGAGATTATCCCTTTTTGGTTGGTTATTTTTTTCTGTTATCATTTTCAAAGAAAATATTTTAGTGTATTTAAGAGACTACACAACTTTGATGTATCAAATCGAAAGAGAGTAGTTTTATGCCATCAGTACTGCAGCAAAATAGTGCCGTAGATCTTTTACCATAAGACTCCATGAGTGGAGCAAGTAAAGTTTCATTGCAGTTGTAGACAGATCTTTAAATATGTAATCCTTCACTCAATCCAGTGTATCTCTTTTTTAAGTCTTACACTTTTATCCACTTAGACAAATAGTTATTTTATCCTTCTTTATTCTTAGCTCCTTTATACGAGAATTTTCCGTAAAATAATGTTCCCAGTGATTTTTCGCTATGAAAAACATGTTTAATTGGCATTGAATAATACATTTTTGGAAAGCTTTACCCTGTTTTTTGACATAATCGCTGTTGAGATCAATGCATTTTTGCATGCAGTGTACTATCTTCTGTATCCCTGAATTGTAGAATTTAGAACCTTTTCTTTCAGCTCCTCTCTGGATCAAAAATGCATCTACACTCATGTGTTTCTTCAGTTCAGGGAAGAACTGGTAGTCGCTTGCGGCTATGTCTGGATTGTAGGGAGTGTGTGACAATATTCCATCCAAGTTTGTTTATAGATTGGCTGTTACACGGGCAGTGTGCGGATGAGCATTGTTCTGATGTAAATGCACTCCCTTCATGAGCATGCCTCTCTTGTTTTGAATTGCATGGCAAAGGTTCTTTATTGCCTCACAGTAGTGGTCCGCATTGATTGTTGTACCAGCAGGCATGAATTTGCACAACAATAATCCCTTTCTGTCCCAAAAGATGCTCCTCATCCCTTTGCTGGCAGACAGTGTTTTGTTTGAACTTCTACAGTTTCGGCGACTGTGTATGTTTCCACCGACAAGATTGTTGTTTCGTTTCTGATGTTGTGTAGCGGACCCAGGTCTCATTTCCAGTGACAATTCCTCGCCATCAGTTTCGTAGGCCTGAAGAAATTTGCGGTCTGCTTCAATATGTTGTCTTGTAAGCATTCTCAGGACCTACCTTGTACAAACCTTGGTATACTATAAATGGTTTGTCAAAATTATGTCAATGCAGGTCTTTCTGACACCAGGTATCATCTCACTGAGCTCCTGAGCCGTCATCCTTCAATCTGTCAGCATTGCTTCTTCCAGTTTCGCATGCATTTCGGCCGAAGCCGATGGCCATCTGGAACACTGTTCGTCAGTCTTTGAATTCTCTGCACCATTTGCACATGTGTTGTGTGCTCATACACTTTTCTCATTAGGATTCACAGAGTTGGGAACGAATGTTCACCGGCACCATATTTTTTGCACACCAAAAACAAATCACTGAGTGTAATTCACACCTGGCAGGAGAAGTGAGTGAGGGCTCCATTTTTAATTGCTGCCAAGCCAAGACTGTGTGTTGCAGACAGCTCACTAGAGGGGGAACCAAGCTATACACCAGGGTTGCTGGGCCTCATGTGATGGCGTTTCTTACTACTGCAGCTACTTGGGAACCTTATTTTATGGACAACTCTTGTATGATGCAGTTTTTCTAGTTGATTCTTTCTTTCCTTTTAATTACATATGTTATATTTGTCATTATAGCATTTTAAAATCTAATTTTAATATTGCAGAAATTTTGATATATGCTGCTGAAGCTTTCTTAGTCAATTTTCTAATAAAATTAATAGCTTTTGTTTTTTAAAGTGAAAAATTGCTGAACAGATAATGTTGACAGCAAGAAATGTAAGTATGTGCAACTTCATCTCATTAAACTTGCCCTATATTGTTTTTACTAATCCTTTCTTTGATACCAAAAAAAAAAAAAAAAAAAAAAGAGTCGACCTGACATTTGAAATTGGAGATGTTCAGAGGTGAATCACAGGCAAACAAAAAGAAAGCTGATTTTTCTCTTGAATAATAATGTGCATGAATAGGATTGAAACCACCATTGAAAGTGAATGCTCTTACAAAAGCTGTGTTCAGTTGAAATATTGGGAGAAATATGAAGTCAAAATTTCCATGTTGCATAGCTCAGTAGTAGTATCCTTCTAATCAAGATGATGAATAAAATCAAGTTGCATTTTTTCATCATATCTTTTGCTAGAATCATATTCTTCCAATTAATCAAGAAGGTTAATTTCATCTTGATTTTTCTCAAGGTATCCCCAGGTTATGTTATCACATCTTACTTTTGACTAGGACCATTAGAAAATAAGCATATAACTTAAGAGTGATATATATATATTTTAAATTTCATCATGCTTTTGAAATTTCAGCATTTAATTAGAAACTATTTGGATTGTTCAGTTCCCCCTGCCATTTATTGATACTCTCTTACGCTGCAAAATTAGATTTTACACAGACAGGATTGTTTTTAAAATTAGTTATTATATGATTAAATATTTTAAAATTGTTTGGCTGGGGAGATAATTGTTACTTATTTTCATTTTTCTTAATTATGATTTTCCTCAGGCATTATTTATTCTCTTCAGAATTTACATACAGTAATCTGTGGATGAATATAATGTGTTTTGTTTAGTGATTTGTAATTGTCTTTTGATTGTAGAAAATTGCATGCACCGTCCTCAGTAAATTTTAAAACAGATTTTATTTTGTTATATGAATTCTGTTGTTACCCGTTTTTCACATGATCTTTTTTCTTTTTTAAAGAAACTTTTAGGCTATGAGATGGCTGAATTTCAATTGAAAATAGAATGTGTATGGTCAAAAGATGGTACTTTCCTCGATCTTTCTCCAGAATCTCGTAGTTCTGAATTAAAAGAAAATGCTGAAAAGAATAAAGTAAAGAAAAAGAGCTTATTACTTAAAGATTCTCCTCAATTTGAACCTATGGATATTGCAGATTCTACTAAAGAACTGAATAAGCATAAATCGCCTTTAAATCAGAGAAAAACAACAGAAAATGAAAACTTGATTAATAGCACAGAACATCCAGGTCAGAATGGAGTAGATGGTGATATAGGAACAGAAAAGTCTGATGACCCTGAATCAGATGCTGAAGTGTTAAAAAAAGGTGCCAAACAAAAGAAAGCTGTAGAGAAAAAGGCTGTAGCTAGAAGAAAATCTAAGGCTAAATCAAATGCTATTAAAGAAGCACTTGAAATTATTGAAGATTTAGAAAATGAAGTCTTATCTGAAGATGAGGATAATACACAAAGTTCCAAAAATACCAAAGTTGTAAAATCTAAAAGAATAAATTTGAGAAGTAAAAAATTGCAAAATCAAAACAGTAAGGAAGAGGAAGTAGGCGATGATATTAAACCTGCAGACCTTCCAACTCGTGCTTCACATAGAACTGCTACTAAAAAGAAAGTTCAAGAAAAAGCTTCTGTAGAAGATAATTTTGTTAGCGAAAAGCAAAGTTTTATCAGAACCCGTGCTGCTAAAAGGAAGGTTATTGATGAAAGTAGTGAGAAACGAAAAGTTGCAGAGAAACCAGTTATTGTAAATAAAAAATCTAAAGCTAAATAAAATGTTATTTTATAATGATTTTGTTTGATTACACATATTTTTATTGATCTACTTCATCATTCAAAAATTTCTGTTATTTATGATGTGTATTTTCTTCAATTTTTAAAATGTCATTCCCTGTTTTCTCTTAATTTAAAGGGTAATATTGGACCTTTTAGAGTTAAATTTCTAAAGAAAATTGTATGTTGTTGTATCTAATTTTGTTTAATTTAATACAATGATCTATAAGTATGTTAAATTTGTTTAATGTGAAATATTTATTCCAAGGCAAAATATTTTATATTGAAATCATAATAAGGATATTCACTGGTACTATTATTGTTAAAATATTCAAAATATTAACAAAAGAAGAAATCAAAGGTATAATTTTTGAATCTGAGATTAAAATTAAAAATACCTCCTCTAGTATGTAAAGGTGTTCATGTAATATTCTGGTTCAATAATTAGAGATCTGTTTCTATTAACCCTTTATTTACATTCTATTTCAAGAAAAGTGGTCTAGAATAATTTCATCCGTACTTTTTTTTTTTATTTGGGGCTAGTTAAATGTTGAATATTTCATGCTCATTTTGACAACAGTACTGTCCTGAAGAGTCCTTAAAAGTTCTTAAGTTTTTTTAAATCGATTTTTGGTCCTTAAAAGTCCTTAATTTTGGCCAAAATTGGCAGAAGGTCCTTAATTTTAATCATCAGAAATGTCTATCTGTTTTTACATTTGCCATTTTGAGTGTGAATTATCATTTTGGAGAAATATATTTGGCGATTCACTGACATATATAAATATCTTTTGAATGGGTTCATGGGTTATAATTTGTTCCTATTTCTAATATAAATGGTGGGGTACTAGAGTTTCTAAGCAAGAAGTGAAACGTAAGCATTTCGGAATTAATTTTTTTCTAGGAAGACAAATTGTTTAAGAGCTCTTCTTTGAGCTTTTAAACAACTTTTCGCCTTTATTAAATGCTTCTAAATTTGACGACTTATCAACATTTTGGCAATTTTAAGATCAGTTTCTATAAAAAGTTTTAATTCCGAGATCTGGGAATTTTTCGACAATTGTTTTTAAAACATTGTAACGTTGATAAATTTCACTAAAATAATAGTAATGTATTAAAATTATACTTAAAAATAACATTAAAATAAAACATTTTTATTTTTCGCTGTCATATTATAAAGTTTTATTTTGGCAACTTATAATACAGTATTTTGTGTCTGAAAAATAAATAAGGTATAATGTATAGAAAATGTATGTATAAAGCACAATTTACAAAACAGTTCTTAGCAAAAGCAAAATTAGCTATATAGTTAATTAATGTCTTTTTTAAAATTTTTTCATAGTAAGAGTTTTTCCCGTGTAATCCTTTTTTTTTTCCCCCAAAATATTTCTGGCTTTTTGCTATTACAGAATTGGTAGGGATAATTTTTCTTTAGAATTTTAGACATTGGAGCTTCGAAAGTTTAAAAGAATTTGAAGGCAAGATTTATAGACCCACAATTCTAGAAGATTCTAGAGATATGTGACAAAATAAAAAATGTCTCTGTAGTATTAACACGTAATGGATGTATTTTACACAAAGTTTGCGATGAATTTCTTACTTTTTGGAGAACATATGGAAGAAAAATGAAAACATAATAATTGAATGTTTTACTTCTGATACTAGAATCATTTTCTTAAAATGTTTATCTTCCTTTTATTTTCTCTACTTCTCACTAGACAGGAGTATGGAAAAGATCAAAAATGCTTATAATCTTATCACATGGGCAGGTGTTATAGAAAGGAATTTTTTTATTAATAAAAAAAAATTGAAAACTTAGCCTTTTAAAAGATTCATCTAATATGTCTTAATGCATCATACACATAACTGGCACTAGGCATTTTTCTTCCTGATGCAATCTCTGCAACCTTTCTGCTATCTAGTGCTTTTCTAAATTCTGCTTCCAATGTCTGTTCTAAATTCTAAAAGTTTTGCCATTTCTAGATTTTGTTGCTCGATGTGTCATCTGAATTCTAAAAATTCTGCCCCACCAGCTCTGTAACCGACCCTTACCATATATATTTCATATTTCTTCTAAATGTTCATATAACTAAAGTAATAAAATTAGCCACTTTTTCTTATAAATGCCCTTTTTTAAAATTTTATTTTGGAATAGCAGAAATCTTTAATTAAATCCAAAAATTCTAAAATGAAAATGAAACCTGTTGAAGGAAAAAACTAAATACATAAAAATTATTCTTCAAAGATATGTACAGTTATTATGTAAATTTCCCAGTTGTTTCATGATTTCAGCCTTCACTAGAATTTCCTGTTTTTATTTCCTCATATGATAGAGTTACTGAGCCAGCTTAAATTAAAATTAAATTGTATAATCTTTGGCCACTAAAAGTTTGAATGTTCTTATTTAATAACGTCACCATGAGCTGTAATTGATTTTGTTAGCATCAGAACATGCCTTTATGTTCTAAGTTCTTTTTAAATAAGAGGCTTAGTTAAGCCTTTGTCTGATATTATAGTTACATTCAGACATAGCAATAATTTGCTTCACATTTGTCGGGGGGTTTGGAACTATTTAACTTTTAACCAGATTAAGTAAACCCTCATAGGTATATTGTGGAGAGGTTGGCAAGTTAGCAGATAAAGCATGCAGAAACTAGTCAGAGCATTGGTGTGCATATTGAGTCAAATTTCTGACTGTTAGAAAAGATGCTTAAAGAGAAGGAAATGATAAAAATTTGCCAAAATATCTGGAAAGGCTTCAAATTAAAATGACGCATAAATATTTTATTGAGTGTTGTTGTTACAAGACATAAATGTTTTGTAACAACACTTTCAGAACTTTCCAAATGTGCCTACAACAGGCCTTTCAGGTTTGTTCCAATCAGCAGATCTCTCTCTAGATAAGCAGTGACAACATTCAGTCTTTTGTTATGAATCATGCTGATTATGATCTTACGTCTCATTTTAACCTATGATGCTTGACATAAAATCTACCTGCTATTTATTAAACCTCTAGACAGAAACAAGTATGTGACAAAATGAAACATAAAAAAAATCAACATAAAGCTAACTGTTAGTAAAATATAAATGCCACTTAACTTCTTTGAATATGTCCAACTATTATAAGTGTAAAATATTTAATGCTACTTGTAAATTGCATAAAGTTTATTTATTCTCAAACTTTAATTAATTTCAAACTTTCAAATGTTAATTCATGTTTAATAATAATTAAAATTTTATTTTTAGAATGGTATTACAAAACTGAAATTCAGGCATAGATAATATTTTTAATTGCATTTATTCAGTTCTCATTTGCTCATAGGTCCTTAATTTTTTTTCATTAATGGTCCTTAATTTCTGTGTTCAGAAATGTGTACGAACCCTGTGACAAGTTGCAACAATGTGAAATGCTTAAATGGGGCCAAGCAGTACATGTTCATGTATATTTTAATAGCACAAATTTTAAAGTTATCTGAATCTCCTGTGGGCATATATTCAAAGGGGTTAATTACCTTATTCTTCTAATCTAATTATGTAAATTATCTTACCATATCATGATATGTAAATCAGTGTACAAAAGAGAAATTTTATTTTGAGTTAGAAATTTTTGATGCAGAGTACTTATTGTTGTTTCCAGATTCAATTTCAAGCAAAGCTCGATACTAAATGAATAAGAGAGCTTGATATTTATGTAATGGCTCTTCTAGAATAAAGATAAAGTTGTTTGTTGCTGAAGGAAGTGAAAAAGGTGTTATGTACATATAATGTGAAATGTATAGATTACTTGTTATTGGGCACTAAAGACCATCATCTAGAAGATGCAATGTCTCGGTAACCTTTCATTCTGTTATCTCTGAGTCTTCTGTAATGAATGCTAGAATTTAGATAAATGGCTGAATGCTCGTTTTCTGAATTTCAGCAGCATACTGAGCATGTTGTCCAAAATAATTGAAACATTCTAGACGTTTTGAAGCATTGCTTGGAATGTTCTGCCAGTCTTTGGGAAAATGATGTTCTGTTTCTATTATTACTGGTGGCTTGTATTGCAAGCACATGCATCTTCTTGTGTAGTCTTTCCTTTTGCCTTTGTAATCTGTTTCATAATAAAGGCTTTGTATGCTGAACCAAAGTTTGATAACCTGTTGTGCTGTCAATGTTGAATTTACATTCAATGAGGAACAAAGCATACTGTCTTTTAATCTTGTGCACTGATCATTCTTTTGATGAGCTCCATGTTTAGATATTCCACACAGGCTGAGAAATGAAATTGCAGCTTCAAGCAAACATGGTATTTAGTGTTAGAATCAGTGATTTTTATTAAAAGATTTATAGGATTAAGTGACATTTATTGCTATATAATTACGTAAAAAATTTTACCGTAAAGTGTAATCAAATTCAGTTTGCTAAATTTCATGGGAAATAGCAAATGTTGAACAGCTAAATAAAGCCTTCTAATTTTTGCTTAATTATTAAATTTATCATTCTTTGGAGTGGGATAATAATAAGTTTATGATTAATTTATAATGAATAAAGAATATGAAAAATCATATTCAAGGATATACATTGTTTCAAATCGGGGGGGAAAAATTCTAATCAAGTATTAAATAGAAGATAGTGTTTTAACGTTTAAGGAACAACAGATATTTTTAATGTAGGTTTTTGAAAGAAATGGAAATTTTAATATCTATCATATTTTTAAACAATAATGTATTGCGTAAAGCAAGTATTTAAAACTTTGATCATAATACTTTGCACATTTATTTTATTGAGATAAATGCATATTTTTTGATTTTTCCTTCATATTTATGTGTCTGTTTTAATGCCTTAAGATTAACTAAATGACCTTGATTTAATGTATTTTATCACAATTTCCAAGGGATTAATTTAATCTCTATTCTACAGTATCAAAAAATATATGCTTTATAAACGACTGTTTTTAAAATTTTAATGTAAATTTATTTTTTTAGTTGGCTGTAGTAATTACATTAAATAATCCTTATTTTTAGATTTTCCATATTTTGTAGAAGTAATTTTAATTTCAAATTTAAGGAAAAAGTTAGTGGGGATTTCTTTCATAAAATAATACAGTTTGATTTAGGTTTTCAGAAGTACTAGAATGGAAAACGCTAGAAATGGGAACACTTTTTAGTTTTATAGCTTGAATTCATTCTAAAAAGGCAGTTTGAATATCTCTCAATTTTGATCTTTTTTCTTTGCTTCTTTGGGATATTTGCATTTTTTGATAGTTCTTCATTAATTATAATTCCTTGTTTAATTACATTGCAGAATCCTGTTTGGGAAATTCCCAGTTTAAATGTAGTTTTTCTTTAGCTACAAATATAAAATTAAAATTACATCAGTACCTTATAACAACACATCCTTTTGTGTCAAGCTTAATCTGTTCACGTGGCATTTTTAGCATGTTACAAACTAAGTGCATAACAAATTTTAAAAAATGTTTCTTCCAGTGATTCATTTAAAATTCATAAACTTGTGTTTATAGTGAGCAGAAAGATTGCTCTTTGTCTGTATATTTGATCTGCCTCTTAACGATTACAAGCATGATAAATGCATTCTTTGCTTCTTCTCCAGCCTGCAGTTATCAATTTCTTTTTATTCAATGACTGTTCATGAATGGCAATGCTGAGATGCATTTAATGGACATTTTTTATAACTCTTGGTGAACATAATATATCTATCGCAAAGGAGCAGTTTGAATGGGGAAACTTATTCATACTAGAGTTTATCTGAGGAATTGGAGACATCTGGCACAGCTAATGCTGCTCAAAAACCAGTTTTTCTTTGTAGTTGAGCAAGTTGAAAATTTTAAACTTAATTAGAGTGAAGCTAATCGCCTTGATTAGCTCATGTAAATCCCATTGTGAATGGCCCTTAAAAATAGGGTACAGAATTTGCACTTTTACCTCCTAGCAGTTGGTATTTGAGAAGGAACTTCTACTCGTTTACATTGTTTCTAAAGGGTTGTTTTTGTCAACCTTAAGGTAAGGAAATTCTTTGTCCTCCTTTGAAGTCCACTGCAGACAAAGAAATCTGATAAGTGTCTCACAGGTACTAGGTCAGAGCTAAATTAACTATTAAACAAAATAAGCAAAAAGTAAATAAATAAATAAAGGGCACTTTGAAAAAGTGTTCATTGATTAGGGTACCACCAAAGTTTCCTACGGCCCTCTTACCATGAAATGTATAGTATAGCTAAATCAAGACGAAGTTCAATGTGTAAATGCTTTAGGAAGTCTTCATCTGTCCCTGGATCAGCAGATAAGAAAATTTCGGTCAAACTCATTTTATTTAAATGGTAAGTCACAATATGTTAAATAGATGAATTACAAAATCTTTGATAGGTAGAAGTACCATACTGTGGCATTAAAAAACTAGTCATTTCCCAATCTGAGTTTTATAAGCAGTGGAGAGGAGTTTAATAAAAGTATTTTTCTATTGATTAGTGTGCATTCGTTTTGTTCTTGGAACTTTGAATATAATAAACGGCTAAGTGTACTAACCAGTGAGTTCAATAATTGGCAGACACTGAATGTATCTGAATGATAAAAATTAAATCAAAGTTATAATGGTTGCCATTTTACATTCATTAAAATGAGTTGTGCAAAAATTGTAGCACCAAAAATAATGTAATGTGTTATTGCTCATAAGATAAGCATTAAAGCTGTTTGAATTTTTTAACAGTATAATTATATAATCCTTCATATTAAGAAAGTGATCAATTTCCTTCCTAAAATTTTTATAAATATTGATTTAAACTGCTGTTTTTTTTTTAAAACCTTAAATTAATTTCAGTGCATTGATTTAATATAACAAATAGAGCTAATATAAACTTAGTTGTAAAAATTGCTTAACATATAAATATAAGAATGAAACTTGCAAGTAATTGACTTTCAGCATTACATATGATCTTGAAAAAGCCAAGAACCATTTTTCTGAACTGAAAACAACTGAAAGACATGAATACATCATAATTTTGTTTCTCTTGAATCCTTTGTATTTTTGACTGGTTCCCTCCAGGTGCTTACTTTTGGTTGTACCTATTATCAAACATAAAAGAAAGCATTTATAAAATATGAACAAAATCTTATAATGCTAAACAGTGTGTTATACTATTGAAAACTAAATGGAAAAATAAATGTGCAATATGTTACAAATTATATCATCAAATATTATATTTGAAATAGCAGGTTATTTTTATAAGGCAAAATACACAGGGGCTGTCTTCCTAAGTCAAGAAATGCCTTCGTGGAGGTCTTTTTTTTTGGGGGGGGAGGAACTGGCTTGTACTCTTGTTAGACATGGGGAAAATCCCATGCAGCCAGCCAATTTACATGGGTTTGAATTAGTATTCAGCAGTCTTAACCATTCAGCTAGTAAATTATTAAATTGAGTGTCTGAATGAAATCAAAAGGAAACTACTGCTGAAACATTCAGAATTATTTTTTTTTTCTTGCATTAGTTAATCAAATACTTAAATCCTTTAGCTCACTTGCTCAAATAGAATATTATTTACATTAACTAGTCGGATACTTAGAGAATTCTATGCTTAAGTATTAGCCCATCGACCGTGAAGCCATTTGTACTCATAGCGTTTTAAACAGGTCTTGAGGTAAACCTGGAGGATCTAACAAAATAGTAGGAATGGGTGAAAGCCTTTTTACGAAGCAGGTCAGGATTTCTGCCAATTTTCGCGGTTTGACAGTAGCCAACTTTCAGGGTTGACGGAATAATACTTAAGAACCAACAATTCTTTACCTGACGTGTGCTCAAATTCTAAAAGTTGCATTAGTTCCAAACAAGGTGAAAATAATTCATTGTAATAGTATCTTTGGCTCGAATACTCAAAAAAATTATTTACCATAATAATTTTTAAAATATTCTTTAAGTGAATATAGCGGGGATGGGCAAACTTTATCAGTCGCGGACCAAAAATAAAAAAGTTTGGCTGGCCAAGATAAATTTTTCTAAAATTTTAAAAACAATGTACAAGTATTACAATTTAAATATGTTAATGAGATAAATGAAATTGGGATTTCATTTTTAAAAGTTTCTTATATTGAGGTTCGAAGTGAGATACACTGATTCTAAGGAACGAGGCTAAATGCTCATCTGTCAGTCTACTTCAGAAATAATTCTTTCTAAGGTTCATAGTTGAAAACACTTGTTAGCATATATAAGATGAAGCAAACATAGCATTGATTTTCTGGTCGTGAGATATTAAATTTGGGAAACTTGCTTTCGATAATGCTTTGTAAAATTGTAACTTTGGCATATTTAGAAACAACTGCTTCAGATGATTGTTAGATTTCAACTCGGTTAATTCAAGTTGCAAATCTGACCTCACTGCTTCACAATATACGTTGAAAGGTATGGTAAAAATATCCAATTCTGTTTGAAATTTGTTCTGAAATCTTGAAACCTGCGTTCGAACTCAAAGTGCAGTTTTTTCAAGCCATCTTCATGATTCTTAAGCTTCTCTTCATTTACGAAGGGTGTTGAATTGAACCACGAGAAATGAGACAAGTCGTTCTTAGCTAGCTGGCCAAAAAAGAGGTTAAGTTTTAGTTTAAAAGCTTTGAGATAGGCCCAGGTATCGTCGATAAATTGATTTTTCCCTTGCATCTTGACATTAAAGTTGCTCATATGACAAAGAAGATCTGTGAAAAATGCAAAGTGCGAAAGTCATTCTGTATCTTCTAACATTTCACACACTGCAGAACACTGTTTCTCATAGAAGAATGGCACCGTGTCGTCTTTCAGCTGCCAAACTCGCTCGAAAACACATCCTGCATTAAACCAGCTTACTTTCGTGTAATACAGTACATCAGAGTTCAGATTGCACGGACTGAAGAAAATCTCGAAATTGCTTGTGCGTAAGCCTGTGAGATCGAATAGTATTTACAAGCTTCATGACTGCTTCAAGCATGGGTTTTATATTCAATGCAGTTTACACAGAGCATCTTGAGGTATAACACAGTGTAGAAAAACAACATTGTTCCCGGGATAGTTTTGATTAAAATGTCCAAGAAATCCAGATTTTTTTCCTGTCATATTTGGTGCTGCATCTCTCGTAATATTACGTATATTTGTTACAGGCACTTTTAAAGTTAAAAGCCCTTCCTGAAATTCACGAAAAATATCACATCCCATTGTAGTTCCCTTTAAAGAACGTGTGCACGCCGCTTACTCGGTAATTTCAAAGTTCTCATCAACACCTCTTATAAATAATACTAATTGAGCAGTATCATTTATATAAGTGCTTTCACCCATAGCTATAGAGCAAAATTTAAACTGGCTAATCTTTGACTCTAAATAGTGATGTCAAATTTTTATCGATGTATTCGATTCTAGAAGTCACCGGTTTTCGAGATAAGCTTACAATCTCAAAATTATTTTTCTTGTCTAGACGTAGAAAAACACAAACTTGGAGCATGCGTTGTTTAACGAACATCACTGTGGGCTTTATTATTTTTAGCAATACTATATGCTACAACGTAATTTGCTTGCGTAGCTGTCTCTTGGATACTATTTATCTTCTTGAAAAAATTTTGTCGGCCTGATAATATTTTACAAAGATCTTCTGCATTTTGTTTTTCATATTCGGACATTGCTTCGTAAATAGAATTCTTATGCTTACATGTGAAATGAAGGGAATAGTCTTTGAAGACTGTTACAGCTTCATTGCAGATGAGACACGCTGGTTTATCTTTTACAACTGTAAAAAAAAATATTTCCAGGTCCATTCATCATTAAAAGCACGGCACTCTGAATCAACTTTACGTTTTTTTAATAGCCATTTTGGGGTTGAAATATTTTACGAATATCCCAAACAAGCACTAGCTACGCTATACAATTTAATAATTTCACCACTATTCACAATGATGTTTTATGTCCTCGAATCTTTCCATACGCAGTCAATAATATTAGAACTCGTGCCCAAAGAGAAAGCCGCTGGCTAGAGCTAAAAAAAAATGTGCAGTCTGTCAGATGTGAGGTCTAATTCACCTATATTATATTTGATTTCCATATAGTAGTACCTGCTCCCCGAGAAAGAGGAACGCTTGTTGGCGCCAATCTACAGATATACCGTATTTGACGGCAAATAAGTCGCACTGGCATATAAGACGCACCCTTATTTAGAAGGGCACACACATGTAGATGTAGAAAAAGTTATGTGTGTCTAGATCTTTATCCGGGCTAAAAATAGCATTCAGTATTGAAAGTTAATCTGTGTTCTTCACGTATAAGACGCAGGTAACTTTTTTGAGACCAAATTTAGGAAAAACAGTGCGTCTTATATGCCGTCAAATACGATAACTAACAAAGAACTTCCGCTTTTAACACTTTAACGATTGAAAGCTGTTATGTGCTTGCTATTTCCGTCGATTTATGTTTTGTAGAACAAAAATAAAGAAAGTAAAAAGATCATCAGTCCTTTGAAAAAAAGGAAGAAAACAAAATAATATTTAAACAAAGTAGTAAAGGAGATAAATATATATATTTTTTAATTTGCCTCGGACCCGCAAATTAAAATTCTATCTGCGGGTCAGGCTGGTTTGGGCCGTGGTTTGCCCATCCCTGGAATATAGAATTAATTATCTCTGTATACTTTAGTGATGAATATTTTGAATCTGAGTATTATTTTCCTTTCAATACTATTTTAAGTAATTTCAAGCCATTCAATTGTATCCTTCAGCTAATCAGGCTGCATCTATACATCCTGAAATATTTTTTGCAATACATTTAAGTGTGTCCGTGAGTATATATATATATTTATATACATACGTATATGAGCATTACGGGCGTCAAAAAACTACGATGAACACGCTGAAACAATCAGCAACACAGCCTTCAGGCTCTAATGGTGAAGACAGCTTCACGGCAAAGTACTAAAATACAGCTCCCGACTTGGTCGATCGCTCTCAAGCTAACCTGTGAACTTTACTACTCTGCTAAGGAACTCTACTATTCCGCGTACAGCCAGGCTATATATAGCTTTTGACCTATCTTCGAGAACCTTACCCAGGAAAACCGCTTAAATGCGTTCTAGAATATTCTCGCTTCGTCTACAGCAGCTGATTATTACTGTATAAATGCATTTACCTTTTTTCTTAATTCATGTTAGTGGTCCGCCAAATATAAAATTATATATGTAGTGGTCCGTGAAGTTCTAAGGGTTGACGACCGCTGGTCTGTAGAATATCTCCGTCGTCAAATGGGCGATTTTGCACCAAATCTTGCAACCCTAACCCCGCTTTGCGGGGAAGCTATCTTACCACACCTGGCCATTTTGTAACAATCATGAAGAAAGTCGCTGAGACAGGAAAGCTGTCAGTGACTCTGACTGCCGTATCGAAAGCCCGTGTTCTAATACCGGAAAAGCATGGATGTAAATATCTGTCCCTTCATAGGAGGTAACGATGACCCATCTATTAGGTGCCTCCATAGTAAAGTGACCACCGCTTCTGGCCTTAGCATTGCTCAAAACCTGTAATGGCTAGTGCCCGTCATAGAGAAATAAATATATATATTGATGAAATTAAGATATGTTAGAAGGAAAGAAATCCAGATAAAAAGCAGCAGGTGCTTTTTTCGCATAATAATAATTTAAAAAGTACAACTTCTCATGGCAATTTTGAGAAATTTAGGTTTGGAAGCCAAACCCTTAGCCAGTTTGTGGGGGTTATGACAAGAAAGAGCAATATATCTGCTACAGACTGGCATAAATATGCCAAAGGTCTGCACAACATGCATTAACACCACTCCAACGATACACTTGGGGAAGGATATTGACAGTTTAATCAAGGTATTCACGAACGCTGTTCAAATTGCTCATAAAATGGCGTTCAAATGCCAAGAATGTGTCGAAAGTGAAAAGAACTAAAGAGCTTGCTAAACTCATCAAGGAACGAAATGCTGCTAGGAGGCAGTTTCAAAGAACAAGACACAGAGGTGCTAAGCAGAGATTCAGCAGGTTAAATAATGCAGTCAAGTCTCTTACAAATATACAAGCACAACTCGACTGTACTAAATACTT